AAAAAAAAAAAAAAAAAAAAGACTGAGTGATCAAGAATTTGAATTATGGAATATAGATTTAATAGCAAAAAAACTTTAATATAACACTCTTGTACGTCATTGTAGGACTATTAATTCCATATATATAATTTCTGAATGTGTTGAGCTTAAGTGGCAGGCTCGCACGCTTCAAAACACTACGTGGTAATTTTTCATGATTTGTCATTTGGCTTGAATGGATTTTAATTTACCAAATATGGAATATCCATATATATACTCGATATTTATGATCATTTTTAGAAACATTAATTATCTTTTAATATTATTTACTATCCTATAAGTTGTCTATAAGGTATAATTTATTTATCTATTCTTTCTTTTTTCTTCATATTTTTTTTATAATTATAAAAAAATAGTAACGTAAGTTATAAATATAACTAAAGCTGATAAATTTTTTATTTATTTATTTTTTATATATAAAATATTATATTAATCATTTCTTGGTGAGTTTAGATTTGACATATGTTTTGTACATAAAAATAAATAATAATTATATTTATCTTTATATGAAAAATTAAATTATATATTACTAGTAAATGGAAAAAAATATATTTTAATTAACTAAATTACCAATTAGTTACATGATATAAGTTACATTATAATAGCATATTAAGTCGTATATGTGACGGGTATCATTTTGAATATAAATAATAATATACTCCCTCCTATTCATTATAAATGTCGTTTTGACTTTTTTTATTCATCCATTTTGTTATAATGTCTAGATACATAACAAAATGGATGAATCAAAAAAGTCAAAACGACATTTATAATGAACAGGAGGTAGTAGTTTTTTAAACAAGTATTTGAAAATCATTTTTTTTTTTATTTTAAATTTTATTTAAAAAATTATTATATAAAGCAGAGGGTATTTGTGAACGCATCCCTAATTTGAAAGCCTAATACTTACGCGGTGCTGTTCATTGCTCGTGCTAACCGAGAGAGATCGGCAGTGATGGCTGTGACCAAGGAGCAGCTTATCTCAACCCTTAACTCAAAGCTCAATCCTTCTCATCTTGTAATCCTCTCCTTCTCCTCGCTTATGCTGATGATTTTACCGATTTCATTAAAACTCTTTTTGGTTATTCTGTGATGATTGCTGCTAGATTATGAAAGATATTTCTGCTGCTAGTTCATTGTTTATTTTTCGCTTATTTTCATGAGGTTGGGTCCTTTTTGGTTTCTATAGTAGAGTTGAGAATGGTGATTTTGTTTTCTAATTTGGCAGGAAGACATATTATTTGGTTATTTAATCTGTGTTGGATCATTTACTATTGAAAAGCCGACCAGCAGGTGGTGGTGGTGAATTAATATTTCTGTTTGCAGAAACAGGGAAGTTTATAAGAATGGATCCCCTCGTTTATTTATCGGTAAAACAAGATTATGTAGCGAATTTGTTTAGTTAGTTATAAGTTTGGGGTTTGAGTGTATTTGATAGAAAGAGGTGGACAGAGATAACTAGAATGGTGCTGGATCTGTCCTAATTGGAGGACACAATATGTACCCGGATGTGCATAGAGCATTGTACACGGTTTTAGCTTCTATGGTGATCACTAGGCACTAGACTGAAAACATTATGTTCATTGCTTTACTCTTTTTTGTGTTCTTGTGTTTGTGCAGAACTTAATGAATCAGATAAAACCCACTGATTATAGCATCACAATTATTTTGTTACCATCTACAGAGGTATTGGTGGAAATTTTCATTTACTATGTTTATGTTTGTATAACCTTGTCTAGTGAAATTTGATGTCTTAAAATTACAGATGTTACAAATTTTGAATTTAGTATTAAATATTATGATTCGATATGCGAGCTCGTAGACTATCAGTAAATGAGTCTTCTTTTTCTTGCAAACTTTCTGTAATTTAGCCTAAGCATGCAGTGGAGCCACCACAAAGCCTATCCCGTTGTTATTTTTCTATAATTTATGATTCTCTAAGAAAAATAAATAACTAAACGGTTAAGTCAAGACTATTTTCACTACGACCACCAAGCTTATAAATTTTTGTTTCTTATCTTTTTTTTTTTTTTTTTTTTTTTTTTTTTTTTTTTTTTTTTTTTTTTTTTTTTTTTTTTTTTTTTTTTTGTTAGGTTGAATTAGTAATAGTCATATATGTGACTTTGCATGTGAGATATATCATTTTATCGTGTATTCTGATTTTATACAATCATGCTAACTTGGAATTTCCATGAAGTGTTTAATGATGCAGTTAACTTGCAGAATCCACCTCCATCCTTATTATATACGTGATCTATGAACTTATGATAAACCAAATCCCATTTTCTTTATATGAACTTTACAGTTCCGTGAGATGTGTTACTATTTTCACAATGGAAGTGGTTGTCTCTAAAAAGCAGAGGAAATTTCCCACTTTCGTGTCTACCCACGTTACAGTTCACAGATGCTCAGCCTGTCTCACTATGTCTCAGTTTTCTTTCACTCGATTTAGTTTTATTATTGAATCTTATTCACTCTAATGTCGATTTCGCCTGATCTGAAACTCTGACTTTCGTTTTCTTTTTCTTGTCGCCACTCTGTATCCACTGCAGGATGTCATTGACACTTCCGGGGGGTGAGTTCACATCTGATGGAACTGGAATTTTATTTATTTTATTTAAATAATAATTCAGATTGTAGCCATAACATTAACAAATTCATTTATTTATTCAGATGTGGTGCAAGTTTCAGCATTGAGATTGTATCAGAACAATTTGAAGGGAAACGGCTGCTTGAGAGGCACCGGCTCGTAAATGCTGCACTCGTTGAGGAGATGAAGCAAATTCATGCTCTTTCAATCACAAAGGCCCTCACTCCAGAACAGTGGAGCCAGCAAGGGGCTCAAAAATCTGCTTGAATCCTAATGAGAAACTACCTAAACCTAACACTATTATCCTGTGAAATTTGGTTACTTGGCTTGTCCCATGGCACTGTGGTGTAAAAAAGGGTGATTTCATATATAATCCATTTGAAAATTTGATGTGCTTACAGGATACTGTATTTGGTCGTGAATGACCGGATTTCACCTATGTTTACTGAGAATAATATCACCCTGACTTACATGAAAATACTGTTGTCTTCCTTGAACTTGGCTAACCTGAAAGTGCCTATGTATGCTTGTTCCCCCATAGTTTTTTTGCATGCTTTCTAGTCAATCCTAAGTTAGAATACAATCCAGCATTGCACGCTGCTTGTTGTATGATATATGGCCTTTTTATATTGCATTGCACGGAAGGTCTTTTTAAGTCACGATAATATCAACTGTTTACTGAGTTAGTATTTATTTTGGGTTGGAATATGAAGGTGGGTCTTTCAACATTGTACCATTAAAAAAGTTCCTCACAACTTTAAGGCTTGTTTGTTGTCTCTGAACCAAACTATTCAAAAACAAAAAATATAAAAAGTTAATATAGTTTTCTTATGTTCTCAATAGAATTTGGGAAGTAGCACAGCTTAATTGAAGCTCAAATTCTTACACCCAAAAAGGTGTGCTAGGGCAATTATGCACGTGCGTATTCACCCCCCAAAACCAGAAAAAATGAGATTGTGGTACACATGCCACTTCTTTTTTTTTTAATTAAAAATGAGACATAGAGATAAATTAAAATATCATTAATGATTTATACTAAAATGAAAAATAAAAATACCAAAATTCATAATTTTTTATTCTCTATAAATAGATACCACATTTGATAGGTTATTGAACATAATCTTTTTTCGTAATCAATTTATTATACTGAAATAAGATGAACAAGTTACATAATAAGATGAATATGTTATCAAATAAGATGAACATGTTACGTATTGCAGAATAAAATAAAGCATGTTCATCTTTCATGTCATTTTGTAACATATTCATCTTATTGTGTAAATATATAACATGTTCATCTTATTCTATAACATGTTTATCTTACAATGTAACATGTTCACCTTATTTTGGATTTGCGTCTTAATCTTCCAATAAGATAAATTAATTGTGAAAAGTGATAAATTAATTGTGTTCTAAAGCCTATCAAATGTAGTCTCTATTTGTAGAGAATGAAAAATTATAAATTTTGGTATTTTTATTTTTATTTTTTTAACATAAAATATGAATGATAATTTAATTTATATAATTTGATATATAAAATTCAGTATCCAATAGAAATGGGACATGTAAAAAAAAAAAAAAAAACTTACCTCACGCGCTTTATTGAGGAATTGTATTACACAAAGGCATTGACACACCTTACACAAAGGCCTTGACATACCTAGCAAGGTCTGCCCTGCGTGGACAGTAAGGGAAATGGCTTAAAGCCAGTGTAGGTAGCTTTATAGGTAGTTGGGATAGATCACAACTTGACAGAGATTCCTTGAAATCTAGTAGCACAGGTAAACAAATGAGGAAGAGGATTCAAATAGAATCCCACAGTTTTGCTATGGAGTCATCCACACTTATTCACCAAGCACTATTGACAGGTGTCCTACAATAAATATACTTTGGACATGTGTCAATACATTAAGTTGTGGATGGTTCTATAAGAAAACATCCGATGACTCCATAGATTTTTTTGTAAAATCCCAAGTCATAGTCTGCCAAAAAAACTCCCTTGCGGAGTTTAACCTTAGCCCTAAAAGTTATGGTTTAGGCACCAATATGGGAGTGAAAATAGCTGAAACAGTGGACCCTATTAGTATTGAAGTCTCACCTCTGATTCTTCCTCCCCAAATCTCAGCTCTCTTGCCCCTCTTGTAGATATCTAAATTCTCTTAGAATTCAGTCTCAACACCCGTAGAACCCAGTGCCATTGAGACTTCTCCTGTTGGCAAAAAAGGTAAAAAAAAAAAAAAAAAAAAAAAAAAAAAAAACTCTAAAGCCTGTCAGACTAACTAGGAAAAAGTCTAATGAAACTATGTTAGTGGATGTTGAGATCAAAAGCCAGAACCCTCAAGTTAACATTCCTAACAATAAAAAAGCTTACTATGAGGATAATGAATCTAAAAAAGAGTCAATTCTAGAGTCCAAAAAAATTAAAACTTCACGGTCTTTATGTCTTGCTAAAGGTCAAAACTTTGAGCAGTCCAATTTGGTAAAGGCAACCAACCGCAAATGGTCCTAAAGTTTAAATGAAAGTTTGGATGTGAATTAGGAGGACCCACTATGTAGCGCCTCTTTCGATTGATAAGATTTCTCTCATTTTATTTAATTATATGCATGTTATTTTATTTTATTTTGTGCTCCAATTATTTGTATTTTTTGTGCAATGCTTGATACTATCCTTATATGCGTGGATGGACTTATAAATTGTATGCATGTATTTCGTGATATTAATAATTGTTTCTACTTCATCATTTTATTACTTGCTTGGTTATTGTTATTATAAATTTCTCGTCTTTGCCTTATACGATTTATCTGTCTTATTATTGTGTTATTAGATGGGTGATTTATTCTTTATTATTGTGTATGAATTAATTTTGAATTTGTTTGGATATTAGTTTAATTGTTCCGTAACGTTCCGTTAAATCACGTAGAATCATCTCTTATCTGTTTCGTCTCGTTTTTGAATCGTTTTAACCCGAACTTAGAGATCATATTTAGGCCCAAGTACTTGCTTATTTACAGCCCATAATCCTCAAAAGAATCCAACCATGGAGTGTCTCGGTGACCTATTTTTCCCTAAAAAAAATTCTAGCTCATTTTACCTTTTGAATTTCAAATAAATGAGCTCTTATTTTGGTAACTGATAAACATAATACAAAAACCATCAGACTTTAAACATGTTGCTTTTAGTATTTTCTGCAGTGCATGTGACATACATAGCCATGTACACGTGCCCTTTTATTAATGGCTGTAATATTAGGGTTTCTATTTTTCACAGGCTTTATACAGCCTCTTTTCCCTCAGCAGCTGTAGAGCATTAATGACATTTATCATCTAGTTAATTTCGGATATTCTGTGAGCTTTCTTTTCAAGACTTCCATCAGTGATTTCACCATTTCCAACATGGTATCCGAGCTCAGGGACATAACCTGAGCCTGATTTATTAAATGCCATACAACCTTTATCCTTAGCAACCATTTTCGTCTTGATCTTTTCTTGAACCAAGAGTTGCTTTTATGTTCTTCCTTTTCTATGCAATGGCTGAATCATCGTCTAGTCAAACCCATGTGGTGATGCAAAATCCTAGTCTCCAAACTAATCTCATACAACCTCATCATTAGCTTGTGTCCATCAAACTCACAGACACAAACTACCTCCTGTGGAAGCAACAAGTATCTACAACCATTAAAAGGTATAGTTTGGAAGCTTTCATTTCCAAAGACAGCTCACCACCCTCTGCAACCATCATCTCAAATGATTCAACCCAGATCCAAGCAAATCCTGAGTACATCATATGGGTGAGGCAAGATCAGCTTCTTGCCTCATGGCTGGTGTCAGCCCTATCTGAAAGTATGTTGGTAATGATGGTAGGCAAGAACACATCTCAAGAGATCTGGCACTCACTTGAATCTAATTTCTCTGGACAGTCCAAGGCTAGGCTCATGCACTACAAATTGCAACTGCAAACCCTTAACAAGGGCAACTCATCCCTGAGAGAGTTTCTAAGCCAAGTCAAAGCAAACTGTGATGCTTTAGGAACTGCTGGTGAGCCGGTAAGTGAACAAAACCACATTCTTTATATCCTAGGAGGCCTTGGCTCAGACTACAATGCAGTAGTAGTAGCTGTTACATCTAGAGTGGAGCCCTATAGCCTCAATGAAGTGTACTTCATGCTGTTGAGTCTTGAATCCAGACTTGAAATATCCTCTCAGTCCATCATCAAACCCCTCTGTCAACTATGTCACTCAAAGTAGCCAAACATCTCTTGGAAACCAACATGGCTAGTACCAGTTTTTCAAGAACAACAACAACAACAACTTCCATTCTGGAAGAGGTTGAGGTAGGGGTGGCAGAGGTAGGGGAAGGAATTTCAGAGGAAACACAAGAAATCCTTGTCAAGTGTGTGGTTTATCCAATCGCACTGCAGATAAGTGCTACCACATATTTGACTCCACTTACCCAGGTCCACCAAATGCTCAAGCTCAGGTCACTCATGCAACTTCTGCCATCAATCACATGCCAACAGTTAACTAACTCAACTCAGCAAGTGATGTGGCATCTGAAGCAAGCTGGTTTGCTGATTCAGGAGTCTCAAACCACGTGACCAATGATTTGGCTAATCTGAACCTAGCCTCTGACTTCTATGGAAACAACAAACTTCAAGTTGGTAATGGTACAGGCCTTCTTATCTCTCACATTGGCAGTTCTTAACTCAAGTCTTTAAATTCAAAACCTTTGTTTCTTAAAAATCTGCTTCATGTACCTGCCATCATCAAAAATCTAATTAGTGCTTCTAAATTTGCTCAAGATAACTCAGTATTTTTTGAATTTCACCCCTATTTTTGCCTTGTCAAGGATCAGGCAACACATCAAGTCCTTCTTAGAGGCTCACTTAAGGGGGGACTCTACAAGTTTGATGCTCACACCTTCACTCCACCCAACCTCAACCCTGATTCCACCTCTAGCTCTCAGTTTCAGCCTACTACTTATGTTTCTACTTGATATGGGATATTATATGCCAGACCGGTTTGTGCGGGCTAACTGGAGAAAATAAGACTGGTTCGTCGGGTTAGCTAAATAAGACGGGTCAGATGGTATGGTCGAACCGGACCAGGAACCTGCAACGAAGAATAGAGAGAAGACAACAGAGACAAGTTCGGAAGTGGTCGACAAGCACCAGCTACTCGAGGAGTTGGTCGAGGAAGGATGGTCGGATATGGCGTGGTTGTACAGAATTGGTCGAACAACAGAATGCACAAGGGAATCTCCAACACGTG